AAAAAAAAAAAAAAAAAAAAAAAAAAGAGATAAGGAAAGGATAATTTTTCCTTTTGATTTAAAAGCAAGTGGAGTCATATTGACTTTTCAAGGTAAAATCATTTCCCTTTTCCTTTTCATATTTTTCCAAGGAAAGAATCATGAATGTTACTTATCTTTTCAAACCTGACACCAAAATCATAAATTCAAAATGAGTGTATAGGTATAGCAACCCTATCGATTTCTCATTTATTACGACAATTGATTTAGTCTCAAACATTTATCCCCCACCCATATATACATTCAATTTATGCTCTAAAGAGACGTGACTTAGCAAAGACATTTATTTTTTATTTTATTAATTAAGGTTAAATTATTTAAAGAGATAAATGAAAGATAATTTATTTTTAATCTAACTAAAAAAAGAATTTTAAAACACACGTAAATTAACTCAAAAACTATCTTCTCACTAAAATAAAATTACATTGATCTTATGGTCCCATTAAGGCATGCTATGTAATGCAAATGAGTCATGCAACTTTCATGCCTCTCAAAGTGTTTCCCTTTTTGCGGGTGTCTTAGTTGAAGAAGAAACAGGATAATGATATGATTAAGTGAGAGAGAAAAAGGGTGTGTAAAGAGAAAATAAGGAGAGGTTAGCTCACGTGTATTTGTCTCTAATTCAGTTGTTTATACATGAGAAAAGAAAGAAAGAGAGATATATAGTCAAGCAAAAATGAGTGGTGTATAAGGCGTGTAGACTAAGAAAGGAATGGATGATTCACTTGAAGAAAAATAAAATTTATTAATTAAAAAAAAAAAAATTTGTCTCGTGAGATGCTTTCTCTTTAAGGGTACTCGTGGGTCACACCCCACGTGATGTCCCAATGGGTTCCCTTTTTCTCACTTTCCCATCATGGGATTGGGATTTTTCCATCTGGGTCAGGCACACACATACATCCTGCCCCCCGTCCACTATATGGGTCCCCACCGCTTCTCCCTTCCATGGCTCCAACCCCTTTTGATTAAACTTCAAAATCCCATCTAGAACCCTACATATTCCATTTAACAAGAATGGAACCCATCTTAGATTAATCACATCCAAATCTACGGTTAAAATTAGGTTCTTATCAAAGAACATAAATTCATTACAAGCACGCTATCTTTAGATTTATTAGACTAGTTGATAGTAATAAAAAAAGATCTCTAAAAAAAGTTTGAAATGACATAAATTGTCTATTTTTAACTGATTATTGTGAAAAAACGTTACTAACACGCTATTATGATTGGTGTGGACAATACATGAACAAAATGGGAAGGTTCTTTATGGCTTGTAGGCAAGTATAATACCAGTTGCAGTCCACAACCCTGAATTGATGCCCCTTAAATTAAGGTGTGGACCAATAAATCATGAGAGCACTTTCCTGGAAAAGAGGGTGACTTTTCCGGGAAAACTCTTCTCGTCCATTCTTGTGCTATCATCATCACTTTCATCACTCCCATCATCATTGCAAGAACTCGACTTCAACTCCTCCTTTTTGAACTTCAAAATATAAAATGGTTGTATTTATTCAATTGACATAAATATCTCTCAATATCCGTTTTCAAAATGGAATTGCAAATCTTGTCTTGGGGTGGATAAAAAGGACAAACTTTGTTTAGTGGAATTAAGTAAAATACAATTTGTGGGGAAAGAGCAAATTCTCTTGTGAAAAATATAGACAATTAAAGTCGCCTTTATTATTATTATTTTTTAAATGATTATGGATTTGGTCTTACGTGGGAACCCACGTAATTTACAATTTAATCATTAAAGGACATGTGTCTTGTGTTGGATAAATTGTCGGTCCATAGAGTTTCATCTTATTATTTTTATTTTATTTTATTTATTTTTTAATTTATGTTTTCGTCTATTAAAGTTGAAAGCAACTAAGTTAGTATTTTAATGCTCATAAGATAGAATCATTAATCATACATACAGCAATGCATACATAATTAAAATAATATGTTGATTTGCATTTACTGAACACTAATTGTGGATTGTTTGTCAAGATATTGTCAAATGGTATATATCTAATAATATTTAGTTTATTTTCTAATTGGGTTAAATGCTTGGATTGGATGATTGATGAGTGCCAAAATGATATGATATGATACAGGTTAATTTGCTTGGCCTATTCAACAACATTTAACTGTAAACCAACTTGGTAGTTGGTTGATTAGGTACAAGCCTACATCACATTTTATGAAGATGAATAATTTTAAAATTACTAAAGGAATAGTCTTGAGATACAAAATATTCATTTCAGCTTTATTTTTATTAATTGTATGTTGTTCATAATTAGATGTATAAAAGAAATAATCAATGTATAGTAAATCTGAATCAATTGTTTGATTATGTAACTCTATTTTACTAAATAAGTAATTTTCCATGAAAATAATGCTTCATCCAAATTGAGAAGTTTGGAAATCACATGGTTGGAAATTGCTCAACTACTCATGGCAATATTGTATGCTTGTAACAATCGAACACGTTTATATATGATTGAGGAAGAATTGGACTGATTCTAAGAGAGACTGGGGTTAGAGAGCAAAATAATTGAGGCTGAAATGACTGAGTGCCAAACCTAGTTAGTTCCTGTTTCACGAAAAAGATGGGACAAATAAAATGGAGTGAGATGGGGAGTCAGGAAGGGTCCTTTCCTGCTTCAACAAAAATGGTCAAGAGGGAGATTAATTACAGCACAAGATAATTTGTGTAGCCTTTCTTCAGGACATTGAAGTTGCTTTCCAAGCTTACAATAAGTTTCATCTAACCATAGTAGTTTAATAGTGGTACTTTTGTCGGCAAATATCCATGTCCTCCTCAATGATTAATTTAAGTTGCAGTAGAATTATTTAAGCATATTATTTATATAGTATAAGAGTTAAATATTTGTAATTTAAATTATATCATATTATCAAATATTATTTAAATTACAAAATATTTGTCATTATACGAAGAATTCTTTTTATTATTAAGGGATTTTTAAAAAAAATTAATAATCTTTATTTTATAATTTATTATAATTTGACTAAAAATTTTAACAACTAATTATTTAATTAAACAAAAGAGGGTTTTATTCGAAGGGATAAACTAAAGGTCTATTTGAGATTGTTGAGTAATATTGTGTTTACAATGATAAAAAAAAATATGTGAAAATATTAGATTAAAAAGATAATAAATTAAATTAATAATGAGTATATTTTAGAATTATGTTAATGTTTTAAAATTATTGTGACTATATATATTTGGCTTTTTGAAAGAAGGCAACTATTACAAATTGACCAAACACAAAAAGTATCGAGATTAACGTGGGAGATTGTAGCAAAAATACTGAAAAGCAATCTCAAATCATAACTTAATGGCTAAGATAAAGACTCACCTTCCACTAATTGAATTCAATTGGATTGGAACGGACGAAGCATCACATGTGAGCATTCTAAATGAAGTGACAAACATGGGGCCAACTTCAAATTAATGTCATGTTCAACAAAGTTGAACCATGACACCATGAGCACGTGACTCAGCCCATGCAGTGGGGACTGACAGACTAGGGGACTATACATAGGCAGCCAGCGCATCTTCGTTTCAACTTTTCAATGGCACCCTGCAAACGTAAACAACGAGGGAAGAAACATCTGGATGGTGTAGTGGTTACCTTGCCAAGACCGGAACAAACACAACATATATACCATACACCCTCAAATTAGATATCATAAATAAATGTTCCTTTATAAGTTAAATATAAAGTCTAAGTTATTTAAAAATTTTAATTACTTTTAATAAATCAAGTTAATATAAAAAATGTGTTTTTAAAATTACTTAACAAAAATTACTATTAAAATATGTCAAAATTAATACCAAGACATCTTGATGATGAATTAAAAAGAAAAAAAAAAAACACCCTTATTAATATCTTCATTAACAAAGTCCCAATCCACTCCACCCCCCCAACCCCCACCTCCTCCCCAAACATGAACACATCATATGATATATGATGAGGCAGTTTTTACAACCTTATTGTAGAAAAGGACCCTTTATGGTTATCTAGTCCTTATAGATTGTTCAGATCAGATGAGCGGGCCCCATCTCATTATCTAATAATCTTTAATGGGCCCCACAATCTTTTTTTTTTAATATTTTTTATTTTTATGTTCATGAGCCCCACAATCTTTGCACCTTTATTAACATTTCACTTGATTGAACTACTAGTAAAAGCTTGCTAACCACGGCTGTGAACTAGTGGTAAGGATGCAATGGGGTGATGTCTTCGTCTTGTCATTCAGCTCAACCATTAGTTTTAATTTCTTGTTCTCTAAATATAATTGTAATTTAATTATTTTATTAAGAAAAAAAAATTACTAGTAAAAGCTTGATTAGGGGCATACCTGGGTGTGACATCAACATGATGTCAGAGGGACGCAACTTGATTATAATCTTCCTTGATTTCTATTTTTTTCTCTATTTTTTATTTTTTTTATGGTAACTATTTTTAATTATTTTTGTACATTTAATTATAAATTATATAAAAAGTGATATTTCTTTTATTTACCTAAATTTTTTTCTCACACAAATTAAAGTATAAATTTAAGATTTTTAATTTAAAATCTTAAATCCTTAATCCATTAAGCTACTCTTTGGGGGTATTTGGGGTATTGCCAATTGTTTTTTGTTCTACGAAAGTAAAAATTAATATTTCTCATCATTTGGCATGGTGGAGGATTTTTTTTATTTTTTATTTTTAATTTTGGGGTGATGGCGGTTCTCATAATTTGGGTTGGGGGTGTGGGGGGACTATATGTGAGGACAAGATCCAGGTCCGTAGAGGCCTAATTGTAATTGAAAGTTTGAAACTGTGATCTGACTGGGCTG